TATCTTGTATAGATCGTCAGGGGTATGTGTGTACTGTTGGTATCGTGTATAGATCGTCAGGTTTATGTGTGTAATGTTGGTGTCGTGTATAGATTGTCAAGGTTATGTGTGTAATGTTGGTATCGTGTATAGATCGTCAGGGTTATGTGTGTACTGTTGGTGTCGTGTATAGGTTATCAGAGTTATGTGTGTAATGTCGATATCACGAACATTGCTTGTTACAGACAATTCACACGGTACACACACACGTACCTCTGCATTAAATTTTGTGTTCTGTATCTCGTTCGTGTTGTCTACAGTAGCACAGCTACGTACACCGTAACTTCATCTTCCTATCAATGTTATCGGTGAAAATTATCGATGAAAACCTATGGAAAGTAATCACATTTGATGCATGTATTTCATATAGCTCTTATTCGACATGAGCGTTGATATCATGTCTGATATCTAAGTGATGACGATATCATGCAGGCTCGAATTACACGTGATTTATGTCTGTTGCTATGGATTCTCAGGTCACCGAACCCATTCGCTTGCTGTTCGCGATGCGTGACATTTTGTTCGGCTTTCAATGAAACACTATCTGATCTGACTCGAAGTCGGTAACATCTTACAAGGCCTTTAAATAAGACTCCGTGAATATGGGTGTGCTAGTCATTATAAACCAAAAAACCCATTCAAAGGTCATGTGGAACTCTTCGGTCACAGGGACCTGACAATTTGACCGGGTTTTAATCTAAACCCTTAATAAATGTGATAATACTCTCTTCGCACCAATATAAGTCCAAGCAAACCTACTGTAACAAATTACCAGGTCCCTGTGGTTTATTGTTTTACTAGCGATCAGACTCCGCTCATATACTTTATAAGTGTGTTTGAACGGAGTTGTGCAATCGCTCGACGGGCCATAGGAAGACGCAAGCATGTAAGTAATTGTGTTGTGGCATGATTCTAGATACATGTGTGTGTGTTAATATGTTGTAATTGTAATGCGGATGTATTTACGATTAACTTTAAACTTGTTGATTAGAAATAGTGAACCACCTGTTACAGTACTTACCACTAACTGTCTGACTGGGAATCCGATTTGAACATATAAATGTACGAGGAACATTACTGTGTGTTACAGGGGCATGATTCATAGAAACACTTAAACCACGTGTAACGTTATATGAAAGCTGTGTTTATTTTGCAGTACTCTCTGTAATATTTTGTACAGTGTACATTGTGTATTGACAGAAGGCTTTGACGTACTGAGTTGTGATGTAACTTTTATACTGTATTAGTTTCTTGGGTGCTGTATGTATATGTGTGTGGTGAGGGTGGAGGGGGTCATAAGGTCAGACACGGACGTCAATAACTATGCCTAATTAGATGTGACTGGACACTGGCCAGCTGCTTCTGTACCGTCTGTAAATTACAAGACTGGCAGAGTGAGCCATGAAGTTCCCTCACAAGGTCCAAAGCGATACACGTGTTTCTGTACTTGTGTACAAGGCTACTCCGACATGACTCACCCTTAGTGTTAGCAGCTGTAGGCCTTTGTGATATCCCCCTTCTTTGATCACTCTGAAGTCACTAGAGCACATCTATCTGAAGATGTAATAATTACAAAATCAATACAAGAAAACAGTAGATGGCCATATGCGCCGGTTTCTTTGAAAGCCATTTCGATGGAAGAAATCATTTAACTTTGAGTACATCTTCCAGATAATTATTGGCAAGCATACTTTCTTAAGGAATTTTTATCGTTAACGATATATTGAATTGGAGATTTCTTAGGGTAGACATGTTAAATTATGAAACCATGTATGCTCTACACGGAAGATCACTATTGATAATCCCGACCATCTCTACAGCAGGTTCTGTCAGCGCCAAAAGTCTGCATCCGAGCTAAGACATATCAAATGCAGAGCTAATGTCAATTAAAGATAGAACTGAAAACCAGGCCAAAGCATGCATGTTATGTGCACGCACTGTGTGTGTGTGTATGTGGTATTTTTCGCTTGGTTGTCATGACAACAAAGGTATAAAACGTGATATCGAAGCTTTAACCCTTACTGTCTGTCCTCCCTCATAGAAATCAATAATAGCACGTTAGATACGCAGTGCCTTACAGTGTCTCGGTCAGCCTTGTGGCAAAGCACTGACCGGTAAATACTGTTCCGTCACAAAGACTACCTAGACGGATGTATATGACTGTTATACAGACGAACGACACAAGCAAACATTGACAGACAACTGACCTCAAGGGACGGACGTAAGACACATCGACTGACCACCATAAACAGACACACGACAGAACGACTGACCACACGGCAGAACGACTGACCACACGGCACAACGACTGACCACCAACATACGACACAACACCAGACGTGGACAGCCGAACAACTGACGACCATAGACAGACGAACAACTAGCCACTAATGACCGACAAACGACACGAACAACTGACCGCTAGTGACAGACAAACGACACGAACAACTGACCACCATAGACAAACGAACGACACGAAAATTGACCACCAGACAGACATATGCCATAACAATTAACATACAGAAACAGACGAACAACTGACCACCATAGACAGACGAACGACACAGATTGACCACCAGACCGGCGAACAAACTGATCATGGGAGAAAGACGTGCGTCACAATGACCGACAAACTAGGCCAGTCCATACGCTTCACTATCTGACCAAAATAGAAAGACAAGTAATGAAGGACGGGGACAACGACACAGGATGTTTTCAACAACAGACAACCTTACGACACAACCGGCAGTGACAGACAGGCGTACAATTGTAGTTTTGTAGACCATAGCTACATTACTATCTGAGAATAATCATTGCTGTGGTATTTAAAAAAAAAAACCCCACTCCCATTGACACACTATTCAGCTAGATCACCTGAGTATTTGTTCAGTCATTACAACCTGTACTTTACCACTTAGTGTGCAGTCGGCATTCTACTGGGCTATTGTGTGATAACTATAATGAGCTTATGTCGATGTTGCCCGATTTAGACTAGGGGTGAACAAGTCCTTCGTGTCAACTGGTCCTGATATGGCCACGATCCCAGGGAACAGCATCTGGGAAGAGTATCCGAGCGGGGATGGGGTAGTCAAAAGTTTTGGGCTAGGGCAGTCCTTGTCTGCTAGCTGTGTAAATAGCTGACAGCACCATATAAAAGGTCAAACGAACAAAGCTGTCATTGATAGGAGTGCCTTCCTATTGAGTCGTGTAAGCCTATACTTTATTTTCTCACGGGTTTTGTCACCAGGACGAAACTCGAAAATCGCTTCTCATGGGTAAACTGCGATCTCTAAAAAACATCAGAGGGAAAATTTGACAGGTCCGGTTAAACTCCAAATTTGTGGAAGCTGCAAAACATTTGATAGCTAGTTTATGTATTTAGTTGCCAAATCCATTACAATTTACAAATTAGAAGCTGATTGAATTGCAATGTGAAAGACAACATTATACACGTATTGCCCTAGTGTGAGGGAGACCTGAAGAGTTGTTTCCCCGAGATAAATCATGTTTCCCGAGGGCGAAGCCTAAGGGAAACATGATTTGTCGAGGGGGAACAACTCTGCAGGTCACCCTCACACCAGGGCAATAACTTGTATTATTCCGAAATTTCATCTGTGGAGTCTGTGTTATATACATATAACAAAAATACATCAACATTAGGCAATGTAACTAGCCCCTGTGTTGTCACTGTTGTGACTGACCTGATCGCCCTGATTTCATTAAATCTGGTAGAATATATATATTAAAAATACCTATCGCTGTCAGTGTTTTGATTTTATATCAAATTAAACAACAATAATCATGTCATGTGATGTGTTTAAACCAATCTGACACGCTGTAAAATCGATGAGGAATAATAATAGTTATTGGAGCCCGTCGGTCCCGTTATCTGCCAGAAGGCAGTGGATGATGTATGTCTTTATTTGAGCAAATGAGTTTGTTGTAGTTCTGGTTAGGGTTCCATACTTGTTTGCATTGGTTACACACCGTTAGCGGGTTTATAGATTTTGTTTGGTTACACACCAATCTGGTTAAAATCATATGTTACATGGCTTCGTTAACTTCATACTTCGGCTGAACATCTGAGTGTGCCGCGGTCAGGGTCACGTTCATGTGACCTTTATATTAATAAATAAATTAATAAATTAATATTAATATCAACAATCAGAGACCCCCTTTCCAAAGGGCGCTCGTAGTTGTAACAAATATGGCGAACATAGATGAGAATGATGCGAAAGTTCTGAAGTTATTTGAGATTGAACGTCTGAAACCCGAACAGATAAAGATATTCGGAGCTTTTATTAGAGAAGAAAGACTGTATGGCGGTGTTGCCTACGCAAACATTACCCAATGGGTACGCTTTCCTTGGCGTCGTAGAAACGTCAGTTCCCGCCGCTATATTTGTTTTGGAGCTAATCTGTTCAATACCCCTCGCTATTTATCTATCAACCATGATATTCCGATTCGCTGGCAAACCTTTGCCAGCGCGCCTCTGATTGGTTCATCGAAAGGTCACTTGAACGTGACCCTGACCGCGGCACATTCAGATGTTCAGGCGGAGCCATGTAACAGATGATTTTAATCAGATTGGTTACACACCGTCACTGGTTTTGTAGATTTTGTTTTTTAACACTAAGTTCAAGGTGCGAGTTCTGTCAGCGCTAATATTGTTCACATTGGAATGTGTTGATTTTATCAGACAACCAACACCAAAGTATTTCCGACCAGCCATAACAAAGCCAGAAACACAAATAAGCCTATCAGTTTTCACAAAAAATGTCGGTAGTTCTTTTTTAATGGAAAAGGAACAGGAAGTGTACACCCCACTTCTCGCTGTCGCTTGGTGAGCAAAGCATCGCAGCGCTCTCTGTCGTTTCGACAAGTTTCCAACGGGATCAGTATTCATTTTGTTGAATGCAGATAGAAATGTTTTTTAAAACTGATTAACTTCCATTTTTCAGAACAGAAAAAATTAAAGAATGGCTACCCTTGACGATATTCTAAAGAAAATTGGAGAGTTCGGACGTTACCAAGTATGGCTGTTCGTTTTACTGTGTTTACCGTCCATGAGCAACGGTTGTTACATGATGATGATGATCCTATTGGCCTACACACCGAAACACAGGTTAGTATTGCTCAAAAGTGGCGCTGGTCGGCGGCCATATTTTTAAGCCTACCACGACCTCTTGCATGTAGTTGCGGAACGAAAGTGGCTAGAATAACTCCAAACTTCACAACAAAGACGCATTCTCATAATTTATGTTGATAGATCCCATTTAAACTACACTAACACAAGCCTTTAACATACTACACACACCATGCATTCTATATACATCATTCTGTATATATATGGCTATCTCAGTTGAAACAAAATACGGAACACATTTTTAAATGGCATTTTTATATCATGCTAGAGAAAATAAGTGGGTAAATATATATAAATGGTTGCCTGTAATATACCCTTGGCTTCGATCTGGAGGCATTTATAATTGTTTCAGAGTACAAAATGGAAAAAATATACATGTATTCTTCCGCCTCAATTGTAGCATGTAATTCCAGTTTGTATTAACCGGACAATTTTACGTGTCTAGCGTTTCACGTTGAAAGGGATGAATATAAGTTTAAACGACACAAAACAAAGTTACGTGAGGAATGAAGTCGTGGAATGGAATACGTAACTGATCATTCAAATATAAAAAAACCGGTTCATCACTATATATTCTTTCAAAGTCATAACCTGGAAATTTGAGCGTAAGTACGCCGCCTATCACTGTGTTAACATCAAAAGGTGTATGATTATGTTATGCAGGTACATGTGCAAAAACAACCTAGGGGCCTGTTCCGTTTATAAATGTAACAATTTCGGGTAAAAAATCCTAACTGACCTGCAAATGTTATGCCGGCCTTGCAAGGCTTTGCCAAGGCTCGCCTGAAAGCAGCATCAGATTACTAGGCCCGACACGAACATACGACAAAAAAAAAACCATGTGTATTACGAAAGGTGGCAAGTCTTTAATAAACGAAAACGGCCCAGGTGAAATGAAGTGTCACGATACAGGGGTGTTGATGTGTGCTGTTGTGTTTTATGGTACATGCGTTACCATATCGTGTAACAAACAGTTACGGGTTGAGGTCCAAAACTTCAACTGGAAGTCGGCCAGATTCGTGGTGAAAGCAAACAGCCTGCACCCTACTTAATACCATTTACTCCTTTATGACATGTATCAACATTTTAAACAAGTAATGCCTTGCCAAAGAAAATTAAACATCAACACATGGATAGACTAATCGCACTGTCGTCCTGCCACTAGTTTATGTATGCCTCTTCAGACCGTGTAAATATTTGTCCTGGTCGTCAATCAAAAGGCGCCAGAACAATATGTTGTTAACATCATGTATATTCTATTTATATACCCCTGTTTTCGACCTTTATGTACGTATTAAAAACTGATTTTGTTCCTCTTGACCGCACTGATTTTGTTCCTCTTGACCGCGTGCTGTGCTTGGGACTAACAAAAGTGTATAATACTTTGTAATTATACCCGTTTAAACTTTTGCGGTGCCTTCTCTTGGCATTCATAGTTATAAATTGCTGTTTGATGATAAGCATACGAATGACGTTTTAAGTCACCTGACGCATACAAAATATAAAGGGTGCTGAAATGAATTCCGATTCAATATATTATTGCACATGCTGTAAAATGCATTTGCGAAATACATTGAGATACATGTATAAAAGGAATCGTTATTGCATTTGATTTTTCTATTAAACCCATTTTAAGTATTCAAATCCCTTATCACTTGTAATTATATATTTTCACAAATACAATTATACTTCACTGAAAATTGGCAGCATGTCAGCGGAACTGTCTGGATGAGAAAATCGTTATTTACATAGTAGTGACTCGATGAAACTTACACATATACAATTATAATTGTGATAAAATGTTGAATTACGATCATACAAGCGTAGTTGATTTACAATCAATTTCAAGCGTACAGATGACCTGCAAAAGTATGCATCAAATAAAACACTGACTTTGGACGAAGTGATGAGACGTGCTGCACGACTGACTGTGTCAATGATCAAAGAAAATAGTAAAATTAGCCTCAACCCTAAAATACATTTGGTCCAAACTACACAGTGTATGCACATTGGGTCAAAAGACAACTGCTGAAACGGCTCTTGTCACGTACACAAACATGATACACTGTAGCATTCCGAACATCAAAGAGGGCCGCCATCAATGATATACCGTTCGGAAGTCGGCTACGATCGATCCGGAATGGCGTAATTATAATTAACATGAACAGTGGTTGGCATTTGTAGATGTTTGATAAGTATGTCGTGTTCTGGTCGGCCATCAAACCTAACCGGCGTGTCTGGCCTCTGATTGTTTGACATTTGTATAGGTGTACGCCAAGGTGATTCATACGGTTCCTCTTTACGTCTGCGTTTGCTTAAACGTCAATGTATCCTTTATATTGCATCATTTGCGTCTACCGACGCAGTTGTAAAGGACCTTAGTAACAGTTCTCAGTACAATAATGCGAAAGCCTATTAGGGTGATTGAAAAGAACAAAAACTACTGGAAAGTTGTAAGAATGCGATACTCACACACTATTACGCGTAAAAACACGTAATAACGTAAATAAACTCGTAATTACGCGAACAAACGCGTACTAACGCAAATAATCACATAATGACGCGAAAAATCAAGTGGGTTTTTTCGCGTTATTACGACTTTCCAGTATTTTTTACTTACAAGTGATCAGATCCTAATAGGCTTTCGTACTATTAGAACAAGCGGGGAAGAATGCACAGGCCAAGTAAAACTTGGACAGTAACACAGTACTGAATATTTTACCTGTTTTTTTTTTAGATTTACATGGGTCAGATTTACCCCTTCCCAGATGTAAAATGTAGTTTTATGTTTATTTAATGAATGTAATCTATATATTATTTCTGGAGAATTATTATTATAGCGTTTACATTGTATGATTATAATAACCTGATCTAACACGTTTTGGGCACTCTTTATTCCACTTTAAGTCGGCGGCCTGGCTCTTGTCGGGCACATTTAAAAATCGACCAGATTGTAATCAACAAAAGGTTTACGAGGTATTGTAATATCGGTCTCAGAAAACGGAAGTTCCCTCATTTAAAGGTAAATCGATCGGTGTGGCGGTCGAATATTTTTTGAAAATTTTAGAACAAGGTGACCTTGGTATTTAACCAGATCACGCACTGAACACGCACTGAACACGATGTTACCGATAACCGCTCCCCATTCACTGATGTTTCACAGACAATAAATTGGCGTTTTGTTCGCATTTGTATACTCTTTGCCGTTCGTATTGACACTTATTGATGTATGTACCTTTGACTTACACGCTGTTTTTGGCGTTGATTATTTAGTTTTCTCTCGTAACTATCTACGAAGGCCGGAGTTCACGATCTATTTGCTAATTTGCATAACCCGCCATCTTTGACTACCATGTATCCAGCAGTGACCTGTCACTAAAACGCCACGGATTCAGACAATTTCATTGATCAAAGAACATGTTTCGGGGTCTGCAAATTGCATACACTGCAATGACTACCTGCTACATGTTCGTTCGTTGATATTTTTGGCATTCATTGTGGTTTAGTTTAAATTCAGATTGAATTTTTTTATTTGTTCGATCATACATTATGTAACTACAAAGTAGTCTTGAAGGCAAATTATAAAGAAACGCATACCTTTACATAGAAAATCCGCAAAAGGATCAATATTTGTTTCCTATTAGACTTTTAACATGAACAAATATTACCTAAAAGGGAAAATTTCACCCACTGCTGTTAGGGTCGATTATTTACATAAAAACTGAATAACAATGTACCTTTTAAATATAAACTACAATTGTTCGTTTACTTTTGATTAAGTAGGTATTGCTGGCGTTACATTGATTTTAAACGCTCCTGTTGGTATTTTCCAACGTTAGGGAATCCTGAGATTTTGGTTTTGAACATATCACGTAAGGTGACGTAGATAAGCGAAATCATCGGATTAAGCGCGCGAAATTGACACGTGATGCCTCGTTATCGTTTCAGTCACTAAATTCACAGCTAATGCCATTATTTCTGTTCTGGACTGAAGCCAGTGATCATGCTGCATCAGGTTAACGGCCGTATATGAGTAAACATTTAGACATGTACATGCACGCGTGTACCTTCATTCGACAAAGCTTAATGTAATAGTGGTGTATTTCTCGTAATTAAATATCACAAGAGCACAGGGTTTGGTTCGTCATATTTATTCCATTCAATTTAAACTCTGTAACAAATAATAAAACAAACATAAATATACTGTCAAGCTAACCATACATTCACAACTCACATACACAAAGGGAAATAACTCTTACAAGGACATAACGTTACGCTATTACAATTACAAAATATTACAATTTTACGAAGATCTACAATAACAGTTATAAGTAAAAGATATATTTATCTTTACATTTCAAATATATTTAATTCTACAATAATTCAGATATAGGGTAGTCATACCTGAGTGTGGCTCAAAGTCCAGTGAGCATTTTCACACAAAAATTACAACAAATTTTACTCGTAAGAGAAAACTTACGATTTTGTTCCGTTTCACAAAAATTCCGAATCTTAAGTGAAAAATTTATCGTAACTTTACGATAGCTTTACCCCTCTCTTAAGTGCAAAATTTTATCGTAAGTGTAATTAAATATAATGATTTTAATCGTAATTTTAAATAAACAAGGCTGCTATACGATTGGTTTGAAAACGAATTAAAGAGCGATGTATCGTGAAAAGGTTTTTCGAGGCAGATTTTACCACCGCACCTAAGCCATGCCCTATTTCTTACAAAACAATAAAGATGTTCCATAAGGGGCCGTGTTAGTTTTAAGCACACAACGACAAATTTAATTGCATTTATTAATAGATGAATAGTAAGTTTGTTTGGTTTGACCGTTCTTGATGTTTAAATCCGATCAGTGTATTGTGAAAATCACACACGAACTATACCTCAATCAGGAAATCTCAGTATCATATACTTAGTACATGTAAAGTTAGTGCAGGCAAATTCGTCACATTAGTAAGGGTTTCGGTCAATTATTCGTCCAAAAACGCATGTATCAAAATGCCGACGAGCACCAATATAGAAGAAGATTTGACCGGAAACACGCCTGAATGACGTCACGCAGCAACATTTGTGACGTCATCAGGCCTTCCGTGGTTTTGCTCAAATGTGCAGGTAGTTTCGTCACCTTTAAACATTTTACTAATTTACAAGTAATCTAAGTGTTTAAATGTAAACTTTTGTATGTTTATGTTACACAAGCCGTACTGATACGAACAGCTCTAAATGTGTGTGTGTAACAATGATTAACATTGAAATACATGGCTTTTCTTAGTTTCGATAATTAATTGTCGGTAACTTGAATAAACTGATTAATGCTGTTTGAGAAAGATGGCTGGTATAAGCTGAGATGTCAATTTACATGATACGCAACAAAGACTCAATTTCATATTGATATAAACTTCCCAAATCGCTGCCCAACATCATATTTTTCATCGGGTCCGCATGAGAGGGTCCAGGGCTTTCAACGAACTTTCCGGAAATAAAAGTACTGAAAGACAGACAGATAGACACTGTGATTACTATAAGGCACTAATGAAAGAAGGTTTGTAGAATTTCATATTGCCACTTGTTTGTCATAAGCATTAAAAACCCATCAACACCCTACGTTTATGCAAACTTGAGTCCCCTTTGTCCAAAGATGCTCCAGAACAAATTTGGTTAATATCCTTTAACTTGTGCAAAATTAAATTGTTTCCTCTATTTCCCATGTTCGGCCCCACCCCTCTGCCCATACGGGCCATGTGAGCCAAAAAAAGATTGACAGCATATACACAAATATCATAAACACATGAAATTTATCAAACTATGAGAATGAAATGTTGACAAATCATTTGCAAAAGATACAATTATTAAATTGTCACTCGATGCTGAACCAGAACTACGTGGAGCAACATGTTGAGATATAATTAAACTTTAGATACAATCAAATTTTCACACCTGCCTAAGTTTGCAGAAAATTGCAGAATTCATTTTAGTAAATTGTAATGTTTAAATGTGCTTGACATATATATCATACCAGCGTGTATATGAACATTTCGTTAACACCAGTCCCAGAAAATAGGGTGTTTAAAAGCTTTATCTGGAAGTTTGCAATAAAAAAATATTATGTATTACAAATTTGTCTCTTGTTTTGACAGGTAAAGTTAATATATTTTAGGGAGAAATTGATAACAATGTATGAATATTTTAAAATTAATTTTAACTGTCATTGTACAATACAAGAAAAATAATGATATAACAAGTAAGATCTATATCTAATTTTAAATTAAAAAAAAAGATGTGTCTTGTTGGTACAGGTAAAATCAAAGAATTAATTAAAGTCCAGGGTTTAATAATGCTATATTAGATGGGAATAAATTACAATGTATAAACATTTTCAAACGGACTTTAAACCCCATTTTACAATACCAGAAAGCTAATAATATTACATGATAGAAATTGGACAAAATGTACCCAAAGTGTTTTTACCTATTATACATAATCTGTAAAATCCACCCGTTTCCAAAGGGTCAACAGATGACCCTTGGGTAATAAACTTTATAATTTAGATAAAGCATGTATGGGCATTTTCATCCATCAAGAGTACTAGTGTTGGATTCTAGTAAATTTGAGTCTAGAGAAGAAGACTTTTAAAATTTTAGCCAATATTCCAATGGGTCCTGCCCCTCCGGACCAAGGGGTGAGTCAGGATCTTACTTTCTGATGGCATCAAATTGATATCTCATTATCATTTCAAGCAAATTTGAATTATTTACTGTAGAGTTAAAAACAAAATATGCCTAAAAGATCATCCCTATATAAACTATAGTAAACAATACCCCCTCCCAAAGGATGACCTGATGACTATGGGACAATTTTGATTGAACAGTTCACCTGATTCTGATGAAGATTTTTGAAATATTGGTCAATTTTCCCTTTCAAACCCTATATATCCTAACCCCCATGCAGGGTAGTGGCAGGGACCCCAAATTTATAATTTGATACCCTTTTTCACAAAGAAAGGTTCTTATTAAGTCTGAAAAGAAAAGCATCCATTGTTGGACTTAAATGAAAACATTATAATAAAAATGAAATGAACAAAATATAATAACAAGAGGCTCATGGGCCTTAACGGTCACCCGAGTTATGTAAAAACTGATGTTATCGATGTTGCCAAATGAAAAAGAAATAATTTTGTAACAAAAATTATGAACTACATGTAATCCAAAGGTAGTGTTAAAGATCTGGGTATTANGTAATGAACTACATGTAATCCAAAGGTAGTGTTAAAGATCTGGGTATTATATGTACTATGTCCCTTTAGCTCAGTGGTGGAGCGTTGGCCTCCGGAACCTGGGTTCGCGGGTTCGATCCCAGCTGAAACAGCTGGCCTATCTAATATATTGATTTAAAACAATGAAGAGTTTTTGTGTATTGTAAATTGCCATTTGGAAGCTTTGCATCTTTTTATACTGAACATAAATTACATACAACTAAATGGTAAAATAAAATAAAACAAATTGTGAGTTGACTACATTGATATTAGAAAGATATTTGTTTTGAGCTTTTTGTGATAAAAAGCTCCCATATTTTGTTAATAATGCTAAACTAACATGATAAACGACAAACATACAAAGTGTTTTTTAAGAGAACCGACTTTTGCTTTTGGATAATTTGTCACATGGATTTACATCTCCGATCGTCTTGCACGTCAACGGGAATCATCTGACAAGTTAAAACTTTTTTTTTGTCTTAAAAAACTTATTAAACAAAGACTGCCCGGCCAGGTGTTGTAAATGTACTTACTTTTTCATGTAAAAATCAGTCTTTGGTAACTGTCGGTCTCGTTACGTACAATCAGCATGCGATTGTACAGCAGTACTTTCAGGCCGACAACAAATTCTTTTTCATGTATAAATCTTCTTCTAAAATTTCTAGATGGTATTTTAATATAAGCGTTGTAAGATGGTTGGATGTTGGACGCAAACAATACTTTTAAAAAGATACTGGTTGATTGTATTCTTAATACGCATTGCATGGAAATGGAAAATGAATTATCAAATCTTTCCGAACGTCATTTCCATAAACAAGCATTGGATCGTCAGTACATTGTATGTACCAAAGTGCACATGCAGAAAAAACAAATTACTTCCATTCTCGGCTCAGTCGAACATTTACTGCAATAAGCGTTGAGATATGGGTATTGTCAAAGTGGATGTAACTAATTTACACTAAATAACAACCAACAGGCCTCAGATTAATGAGTTTAGTTGACGAGATGTCCGTCGCACAGACCAAATTTTTAAGATTCGTTGTGTTACAAGATATTTCATAACTGTTTTGATTAATAATATAACCTTTCCCTTCTTATACCTCTTCCTGTCAAAATTGTTTAAGGCTTTAACCGTAGAGATATGCATCACATTTAATTCAATAATAAGCCATATCACATTATAAAACTGAGCCACATGTACATGTATCCCAAAAGAGGCTTCGCGCTTTCAACGGTTACCTTCCGTTCGTTGATTTTTTGATATTTTCAAAAATTAAAGGATCTGCCTTTGCCTAAAAAATATAGAAAATACATGATTTTGTATCTTTATTTACTTGTATTTCTCTATTTTCTTGACCCCCTTCATAAAATCGTGGATCCACGCCTGTTGTGCCCCCTCTAACTGTAAATCCCGTTACCAGAAGAAAATGCTTTGCTCTTCACGTTTATGTTAACCGAAAGCATGTGTAACGCTTGCGCAAACTAAGCAAATGCCGTTGTTAGGGAGATTTTTTCTCGTAAGTCAAATAGTAAGTGCGCTCGTAAATAAAAATCTTAAGAATTGTCTTACGAATATTTTTTAACTTACGACTACTTTCGTGAAACTGACTGAAGAGTTCTCTAACGATAATCGTAACTCAATAGCTAAAGACAAATCGTAAGATTTTTTTGTGAAAATGCTCACTGATCGCGCATGTAACATTGTCCATTAAGGAATGCAAAGTTTCGTTACATTGCCGACATAACATAATTCGTTATAATTAATGTTGGTGCTTACTTTTTCAATTGATGACCACATGTATGCCTTTTTACACTGAACTGGCGTTGGCATTTATATTTAAACAAATGTTTTACCTCTGTCCGTATACGTTTGAGCCAAATTACGCATGTTCATCGTTAATGTTAAACTGAATCTTTACAAAGTATCGTGTTTACCGTTACGTTTTAACTTAAACCTAATTATTGCGTTTCAGGTGTAAGATACCTGGATATGATAACGATACATGGACCGTCCAGGACGGTTACCATGCCAACCTCATCAACAGTTCTATTCCTGCCTCGGACGACTCTTTCTACGACTACGACAGATGTCACCTGTACAGGTACTCCGGAAACACCACGGATGCTATCAGGACGAGGTGTTCCGCATATGTGTACGACAAGGAGATCTTCGACGAGACTATCGTCACCAGGGTAAGAACTGCCTACTTCCGGTCAGTTTCGCTATTTTGAAGTACCGTTTAACCTAATCATCATCCTCGATACTCCAGGGGTTAGTGAACGTGAGCGTTACCTCTGGAGTATCCCGGATGCAGGATCCCACACAAAGATTTCTTTTTGCGTATTGCAGAGTTATCTTCTCTTGAGAGCAGGGGTTGATTGTTACGGCATTTGTTTGTGAGAGTAACATCATCATTTTTTGAGGAAACGGCGTAATTTTCTCACACAAACCAATGACGTAACAATCAATACCTGCTCTCACGAGAAGATAACTCTGCAATACGCAAAGACGGAATAGTTGATATATGTTAAAAAATTAAATAAAAAACCCCAACGGTTTTCTACCTATTACTTTTAACAATGCTTTCCAAAGAATTCCTCCGACAATAATAATATATTCATTGGCAAAATTTGGATGTATTATTCATAACATATTTCATTTTTTATTGCAGGGGGATCTTGTTTGTGATCAAGGAATGAAACCTGCACATGCTCAAGTTGTGTATTATGTTGGGGTCATGGTGGGGGATCTTTTCTTCGGACAGTTGTCAGACAGGTAACGCATCCCATTGGTTATATACGATAACCATTAGTCTTGCATCGATCAATGTCACTGTTAATGATATTTAGCGTCCATCAAGATATAAAATTGAAATTCACATAAGTCGGGTTTAGCTCATACACGATTTTAGGAACAGTTGTAAGGTTTTTGCCAATGAAATTGCAGTTTTTACATAACATGTTTTGTCAACATTTCCTTTTTTACATTCCCCTCACATAGAGTATAGAGAATAATTCTCAGATATTAAAAATAAAATGAAATTAAACACTTCAGACGTATCATGTCGTTCATATTTTGATAAATGCTTTTTAGTGAACTGATTTAAAACGAAATATGAAAATATCAGTATTAAACATTAGGCTCATTCATCTTGGCTAATTGATTTAAAACATCTGGTTATATGAAAAAAGGAACGCAGTTAAGGTTTTATTTCAGTGTTGATAGCTCTCATTCAACCAACAAAATAATACACATTTTGATAAAAGCTACAAAAGATTGATGGACTATATTTTTCAGTATCGGGCGGAGTAAGACATTACTTATCACATCTGTTGCCCTCCTGTTGTCATCAATCGGCACAGCTTTCGCCCCGGAATTCTATAGCTTCACAGTCCTTCAGTTTATTGTTGGCGCTTCTAACCACGGAATGTTCGTCCTAGTCTGTGTCTTGTGTAAGTACATGGTTCTCTGCATGGTTTAGAAATCAATGACATGAACGTCTCTTTCCACACCCTTTTCCTATTCCGTCTTTGCGTAATGCAGAGTTATCTTCACTTGGGAGCAGGTATTGTTTGTTACCTCATTGGTTTGTGTGAGAAAATTACGTCGTTTTCTCAAAAATTGATGCCGTTACTCTCACAAACAAGTGACGTAACAATCAATCCCTGCTCCCAAGAGAAGATAACTCTGCAATACGCAAAGACGGAATAGTTGCAACATTTTGCTCCGGTCCTTATTTTGAGAATCCCGGTACCTCAGCCAAAAATGTATGTCAATGAGTTAGAATTTGTTTCTAACCATGGGCACGACAATAGATTTAGTAAATCTATAAATGATGAAACATGATAAAGATATATATGTAGAAAAAAGCAGTGATAATGTAATAAGAGTAAAAAGTGAAACGGACCAGCCTGGAATTCAAACCCTGAACCTCCGGTCACAATAATGTTGCTCCCAATTGACCTAGCTGGTCAACAGTAGTACCCTGAATAACCCTTTCACCACTGCAGACCATAATTGACTCATCCAGATCAATGCATGGTAGAGTCTACTAAAGTTACATAAGGGTGAAAGGGTAAAGTCGCCCTACAGTTATATCCAAACGGAATTTAAGGGGAGGTAACTGGGTGCACACAAACTATATTCTAATTCTCTAGTGTTTTGTCTGCAGTAGCACAGGGACCATTAACAAAGCCAGTTTTGTAGGGAATTCAGTTTACTACCATGGCCCATATCAGCCATGTCAAAGATCACTGAAGTGGTTCAATGTTGTCAGAGGTTCCTTGACATAGGACCACAGCAACTACAATGGTAGTTGGATTTTATCAAGATTGTGACTTTTTTTTCTTGGTCAAATTCTGCTTTGCTAAATCTGTTGTTTTTGACAACGCAGTATTGACCGGTATAAGCCTTGACAGTTTTCTAACTTTGTACAAGTAATTATCATTCTTTTTTGATAACACTTGGCTGCTGATGGAACACAGGTGGTCTTTACACACAAACAGACTCTTCCACCCGTTTTTCCATTTGAACTTTAATTGTTTCCCTTCTCCAATGTCTTTATTATATATGTTCTAGCTGTGGGTCAAGTCTTCGTTGGTTGTAGTCAATCGTTGGGTTCCAGAGGAAGCCTAGTGCTATCAACAGGAATGTTAATTGAGCAAAACAGAATTAGACAAAAAAAATGTGGTACATTTGACAAAATTAAAACGCTTGTGTAGTTCCTGACAACATACTGTCAAGAAACCTCTGACAAATTTGAAATTCTTAAGTGCATTTTGACATCTCTAAACTTTTACACATGATCAATATAAATATAGTAATGTTTTATTTCATGCCCAGCGCAAGTATATAACATACCGGAAATAGAAATGGGGTCCGTCATTTAGCTGTACAATGTATGGTACCTCTGTGTACAAATGTACCGGGTTTGAAGAGCCGAATTTAATTGACAGTTTTGTATTATGCATATCAGGTATAGAACTGGTTGGTCCATCCAGGAGGATGGTAGCGGGAGTGTCTATCCACGTCCTCTTCCCCTTTGGTTTGTTCTGGCTAGCCGGAGCCGGCTACCTCTTCCGGACCTGGTGGGCCATACAGCTGGCTGTTGGCGTTCCCTGTGCGGTCTACATTGCTTATTGGTGGTGAGTTGTTTATAGTCTATACACTTTATTTTTATTAATATCTATTTTTATTATGCAATATTTTGCCAGTTACGTTTCACATTTTCAACTGCGCAGAACAGGTAAAGACACCGATGACAGAACTGAGACACACGACTTTCAGGAAGCTAGGGACAAAGCTGTACAAACAACGCTTACAGATAGAAACAACGATGACTAAAACAACAACGCTAATGAGATAGAAACAACGATGACTAAAACAACAACGCTAATGAGATAGAAACAACGATGACTAAAGCAACAACGCTAATGAGATAGAAACAACATTGATAGAACTGCTAGTGAAAACAACGACACCACAGACTGAGACACAATATAAGGCAAAAAACGAAATTATATTGACCTTTATGACCCCCAAAAACAGCTGCATGTGTGACTCTAAGGTTTGAACTGTGCCAACGGGCTACCTCATCGTTGCACTCAGCAAGAAAAACGAAAGGAAAACCACAGTTTTGTTAATGTATTTCACTCTAAGCAAAATCTTCAACTTCTTGAATGGGATACATATATGTAAATACTCCATGCGTTGTCTCCCTTTATTAGCCGCCAGTTATAGCATAAGACCATTAAATGTCCTACCTTTTTATTCAAACGTATTCATTATCCATACAACGCTTCCTCTGTCCTCTTCAAAAACATTTTCTCTAAAATATTTATCGTGTTTTAAATGGTATAAATATATATCTTATGCTCACATATAGTACTGTGCAATAGGATGTTATTGGAATTTCAAACATATATCTGCGGCAGATGAAGAAGCACTATGCAACATAAAAGACGTTGCCGTAGTTAATTTACCTTCATTACAATTTTGTCATCAGTAGGTACAATCCACTTTGTCATCAGTAGGTACATTCAACAAAATCGGGAAGTTAATTTGCTCAATTCTCATATCACCCGTGATAGGAAGCACGGTAATTAAGTTGTAGGACGCCGAGCTTGTGATCTACTGGTTGTGGGTTCGAGTCATGCTAGCTGTAAGCGCCAAGATAGCAGCACCGGCTGTATGCTCCCAAGGGAGTTGAGAAAGATATTGGATGGATGCAAAGGCCCTATAACCACGGATAATAATTTGTGAACAGCTTTGAGACGACCTACGAACTAGGTTGTGAAAAGCGGTATATATATTAAGATCAGAGACATCATTTACCAATAGACACAACGGAGACAGATGAAACAATGCTGATAGATAGAAACAATGTTGATTAACATCGCTGACAGAACAGATAGAAACATCGCTGGTAGAAAGAAACAACGCTGAAATAACAGGTAGAAACAACGCTGGCAGATAGAAACAGTGCTGAAATAACAGGTAGAAACATCGCTGGTAGAAAGAAACAACGCTGAAATAACAGGTAGAAACATCGCTAGCAGATAGAAACAACGCTGAAATAATAGGTATAAATAACACTGGCAGACAGAAGCAACGATTTTAAACACACTGACAGGTCGAAACCAATATAGGAAACATTGATAACATTGACAAGGTAGATCATCGCTGGCACAAGTTATTACGACTCCCGAAAATAAAACGCCAGCTGTTTACAATAAAGATAGACCTATGTACGGTAGTCACTTATGCCGGGAATGTTGGCTGCTGTAAAGTAATGGATAGTGTTGTTTATAGCGAGATGATACTGTGCTACTTGGTATAAAACACCAGACACGTGATACGATAAGTGCCCGACTGGCCGTTCACCCTGCTCCTCTATCGTGCCTGGTTCATGGTTACATACTTTCGAGGTATATCTTACAAATGTCGAGTTTAATATCAGGATGGAGTTAAAAAAAAAAAGTTTCGTATTTCATATTAGTTTGCATTTATATTTCAAAAATATATCGGAATCAGATACGTCAGCTCTAGTTGCAGTTAAAACTGATTATTATCCGCTTATAGTCATATCATTTAGTATTGGTCTCGGCACTCATTATCAAAACAACAGCGAATAGCAAAGGTACACTTCTGCTGGGAGATCTGGAGAGTAGTCAGCAATGTGTATGTCAAAACAACAGATTAAATCGTTCGCCCCTGAAGACACATTTGAACTCTTCAAATTCAAAGGTTGGAAGAGTTCATTATGAAATTTTAGGGGTGAATTAGTTAAATACTTACCCCCTGCTTTAGAAAAGAGACTAACTAATCCGTTCTTGTTTACGTCAACGAGACGTAAATACCCTAAGAGTTAATTTAAAAGTCTAGCGGTACGTTCCACGTATCGTGTAACATATCGGTAAGAATGGTGTTGATCTACGTGTATAATAGAACATGTCCTACAGTATGTCCTTCATATATAACATGGCTTGCTAGACAAGATGACCTTGACATATTACACGATGTCAACTTTGTGAATAAGACCATTAACCAGCCTTGCTAGATAGGATAACATTGACATATAACAACAATACAGGCCAGACAGGATAACCTTGACCTATAACAACAAGACATGCTAGACAGGATAACCTTGACCTAAAAGTAAACATGCTAGATATGATTACTTTGACCTTATAACAAAACATGCTGTACAGTGTAACTTTGACCTATAACAAGACATAAAAGACAAGATGACCTTGACCCATATTAAGACATGATAGACTGGATGACATTGACAGGTCTGAGATAGTGTACGGACGGACTCACGACTCCAGGAGCTGCACGATGACGCACACTTTCTGTATATCTACGGGTATTATTTAGCCGTGCAGATTTAACCATGTAGTCAATAAGGTCGGGGCATCCAATTCATCCTTATACCTATACAGTTATAATGTAAACAGAGTCATTCCTCATACTGTTATACTGATGTATATACACGGTTACATACAGTTATACTGATGTATAATACACAGTTACATACAGTTATACTGATGTATATACACGGTTACATACAGTTATACTGATGTATAATACACAGTTACATACAGTTTACTGATGTATAACACACAGTTACATACAGTATACTGATGTATAATACACGGTTACATACAGTTATACTGATGTATAGTACCAGTTACATACAGTTATACTGATGTATAATACACAGCTACATACAGTTTACTGATGTATAATACACAGTTACATACAGTTATACAGATGTATAATACACGGTTACATACAGTTATACTTATGTATATACACGGTTACATACAGTTATACTGATGTACAATACACAGTTACATACAGTTTACTGATGTATAATACACGGTTACATACAGTTATACTTATGTATATACACGGTTACATACAGTTATACTGATGTACAATACACAGTTACATACAGTTTACTGATGTATAATACACGGTTACATACAGTTATACTGATGTATAACACACAGTTACATACAGTATACTGATGTTAATACACAGTTACATACAGTTGTACTGATGTAAATGCACGGTTACATACAGTTATACTGATGGATAATACACAGTTACATACAGTTATACTGATGTATATAAACGGTTACATACAGTATACTGATGTTAATACACAGTTACATACAGTTGTACTGATGTAAATGCACGGTTACATACAGTTATACTGATGGATAATACACAGTTACATACAGTTATACTGATGTATAATACACGGTTACATACAGTGTACTGATGTATAACACACAGTTACATACAGTATACTGATGTATAATACACGGTTACATACAGTTATACTGATGTATAGTACCAGTTACATACAGTTATACTGATGTATAATACACAGCTACATACAGTTTACTGATGTATAATACACAGTTACATACAGTTATACAGATGTATAATACACGGTTACATACAGTTATACTGATGTATAGTACCAGTTACATACAGTTATACTGATGTATAATACACAGCTACATACAGTTTACTGATGTATAATACACAGTTACATACAGTTATACTAATGTATATACACGGTTACATACGGTTATACTGATGTATATACACGGTTACATACAATTATACTGATGTAAATGCACGGTTACATACAGTTATACTGATGGATAATACACAGTTACATACAGTTATACTGATGTATATACACGGTTTCATACAGTTATACTGATGTATATACACGGTTACATACAATTATACTGATGTAAATGCACGGTTACATACAGTAATACTAATGTATAATACACAGTTACATACAATTATACTGATGTAAATACACGGTTACATACAGTTTACTGATGTATGATACACGGTTTCATACAGTTATTCTGATGTATAATACACAGTTACATACAGTTTACTGATGTATAATACACAGTTACATACAGTTATACTAATGTATATACACGGTTACATACGGTTATACTGATGTATATACACGGTTACATACAATTATACTGATGTAAATGCACGGTTACATACAGTTATACTGATGGATAATACACAGTTACATACAGTTATACTGATGTATATACACGGTTACATACAATTATACTGATGTAAATACACAGTTACATACAGTTATACTCATTTATGATAAACACTTACACATATACAGGTTTTATGATGTATAATAAACACTTACATACATACAGGTATAATGATGTATAATAAACACTTACACACATACAGTTATAATGTAATACATACTGTAACCACATACACCTAGTTATATTATACACACATGCAGTTATAGTGAATAATAAATACTATTCACGTATCCAGTGAAATAGTATTCACAAAATACAATCACCATGAGAAAAAAATGAAATATACATATACAGGTATAAACGTAGATTATATTAAACTGTATTCGCAAACAAACGACACGATATATCCTCATACAATTATGATAACTTAATGTGCACCTACACAATTATGATGTATAACACATTTATTATGTAAGATAAACTCAATACATTCTCATAATCTTATGATAAACAGCCTACACAATATTTGTTACGCAATGTAACGAAACATTTAAAACCACATACAATTATAAATTAGAAAACAAAGTGACAAACACGGGTTAATAATGTTAAACTCCAAACGTTTGCTTAGTTTCAAGTTTTATTCGAACTTTAGGCCTTTGGCCCATCAGTATACAATACATACATGTATTATACACAAATCATGGTCAATGTACAGAGAACGAGTACAATCATATTCCATTATAATACCCTTAATTTGTTTGACTAGTACACATCATTATTTATCACACGCAATCTGTCCAAAAACCCACACACACACACACACACACACACACACACACACACACACACACAATTAAATCCTTAATTTGTAATGTTAAACACACACAATGTTCCATCCTACACCAAATCTGATGACATCAACAAACACCACATCGCGTGCACGAGCTCCGCCCGCCCACGCCTCTGTTGATGTATGGTTAAAATCTAATCAGAATCAAATGGAATCTGAGTTCAATGGAAGTGTCACTTGTGTATACGTTAAAAAACAAATAAAGACCAACAATGAAATATTTTCTTCAATATATATGACATGTACTAATTTCCATCAAAATGGCCATTTTGTAAATTTCTGTTGCATTTGTCGATATACGTATACTTGGAAACTTTCATTATTCATATTTCATTAAGTAAAAAAAAAATGAGATACATAAAATTTGTTGAAAGTTTACATTTTGTGTCCATAATATTCTAGCTTTTCTTGTTTCGTTAATCAATAGTAAATCGAGTACTATGTTTAAAGCTCTTGATTCCATTGTTACCTGATAGAGCAGTGCCTTTTCGACCTGATAGAAATGATATGTTCAGGAAACCCAGACCAAAATACTAGGAGGAGTGGAAATTGCAGAAATACTGCCCGATAGGCTGTAGGGGAAGACATACTATCAGATAGGCTCGGTAGAAACAATAAATTGGTATAATTCTATTAAATATGCCAAGGAGAAAAACAATTCCATAGAAATACTCTCATGTAGGCTTTGGAGGAAATTAAACTGAAAGAAATACTATCAAATATGTTCAGGAGAAAGTCAATTTCATAGAAATATTATCAGAACATGAAAAAGTCAATTTCATAGAAATATTATCAGATATGCACAGGGAAACAGGAGAAAGTCAACTTCATAGAATTATTATCAGATATGCACAGGGAAAATGTAAGCCTATCGCAAAATAAAGTGCTAAAAATACTACTACTTGTAGATATTGTTAAGCCAAAGAGAAAAAAATGACTCAAGAGAACACAAATCTGATAGAAATATTGTCAGAAAGACTCGGGGAAAAATAAGGCTAAGAAAAATGTTGTTAGATGGGCTTGAAAGATCACAAAACTAAAACAAGTATAAAGGTATCGTCAGTCCGAAGCATACTACGCACATTTATCTTCAGACCAAAGCTTGATGAAAATGTAAGATCGTATTCGAATGAGATCCTAAATCGTAAAAAATATTCAAATCAAAACAAAACTTCCGACATTCTAAGACCAAAACCTAGAACTGATCTTCAGATTTAAAGCCAGGAACGCGAGATAGTCTTCCGTTCAAAGCAAAGGTTAGATACTATTCAGATTATATTCGGAATGGCTGTACCGGCAAAAATAAAGATGCTTGTCTCAAAGTAGCATCACCAACTATTCAATAAGAAAGATTATAAAACTAGCAATTAATTTTTGTACAACTTATTTGAAGTACAAATGTATATGTTAAGTACTTATTTTTGTATTTTTGCGTAGTCTTACTACACACTGATTGAAATAACATTGTTTATTAGCATATTTAGGCAAGTATAACATATCGGTCATAGGATATTTTACAAACAAACTTTCAGCAGATTTTTATATATTACAACAAGCTTGATACCCACGCCAATGTTCGCCCCTTAATTGTGCAAGAGTTCAAGAATTTCATTGTTTTCAGACGGTGCTTAATTGAGGGGTTATACGTTCATTATCTTCTTAAATCTTGGCGATGTGTGTCTATGAGTTTGGGGATGAAATTATTCCGGACGCTGGGCAAGTTCTCCAGGAGAGCTACCCAAGCCCAGGCGGATATATCGTTACAGGTAAATGGTACAGGTAAGATTATGACTGATGACGTCACGCACGTAAGTGTTGTTTAATCATTGTTTTTCGTTTCAGAGTCACTATGTAAAACACTGTTAAGTAACCAAACATCTGCTGAATGTGTTGCGATCAACTTTATATCTAGCCAGGCTGCGAACAATTAACACATTTTCGTATCCGCTAATGACCGTTCAACAGTATGTATGCGTGACGTACTTGCGCTAAAACTCTTGAGTATTCGGAGTCACTTATTTCCGTCAGAAGTTCATTCCAGTTTTGTTTTTGTGTACGTGAATTAAGTGTTCCCTGATTAATCTGTTTCACAGACCTGGTTGCTTGACAGTGTTAAAGAAGAACTATATGTATTGTTTTCTCGTGTAGTAAATTCTCATATTTATGATACTCATTTCGTTAATGACTGTTTCGTTTCAGTTCAAATGAAGAACGAATCATCTCACAGATGTTCTTGCTATACATATGAATAAGTAATCTTACTAAGTATATCAGCGACACATAACAGTGCGCTGCTATACAAACATCAAACACTAATATTCTCAGACCATTAACAAACAAACTACATGCTCTGTAGGTAATTAGTTAATGACAAGTGTCAAACGAGATCAAACAAAGAAACAGAGTATAAAAAGATACAAAACAAAAGTAACGTGCACGTGGTTAGGGTTAACTATCTTATACTTAAAAATAGCTCAAACCCTTGTTGGTACGAAATCGCATCATCAGCACAAATAATGTTAGAATCTGAATTGATTTCATTAAAATGTAATGCCCAATATGCCCTAATTGTATAATATCAGTCGATTTGAAAAAAAAATATATACGCAGTTTAAGTAAAATCAGATATATAGACATTAAGTTCACACAAAGGAAATCACTTAAATCGATATTAAAGATAATGATGTAGACAAGACATGTTGTCTGCTTTCCTTTGATCAAGACAATGATATGGTGTACGTAATAGCTGGCCAAGACTTTAAATGCGATGTTTTTTTCAAATGTTATTTGAAAACTGATAAGCTGGAAAGATTTAAGTTAATAAAAATGAGTCTGATAGGTACATTAATTTATGCAAAAAACAACACCAATTACATTCGCTACCCTGTCTCGGTAGTATCATACTTATTTACAACGCTGATTTAAGCATAGATTATTCCTTGTCGAGCCGATGAAAAGTAAGTTACATTAACGGAAGGATTTATTAATATTATGGTATGCATACATCTGAATGGGAAAGGAGTTCAGATTAAGTTGTGTTAATCAATGTCTTAAGGACAGATTTATCTTGCAAGTAAATCAAACGGGTAGAACACAGCGCAATTGGTAGTACAAACATGGAAGATATAAATTAAATATAAGAGCTTATATTCACCCCATCATTTCCCCTTAGTAAACGTTTGTAAAACAAAAGGTAACGCTCACTATATAAACAAAATGTTTGGTGATAAGATTGTTCTATTTGTGTAGTTGTCTAGCAAAGTTTAGTAAATCAGTGTATTTAAACTGGCAACTCAACAATTGTCACCTAAACACGCATATGGAAAACCGACAAATTTTCCTAAATACATTTGAAAATATTGTTGCATTTATCAATATGCATTGCCACCGTTTCAACGTTTTCTTGTTACTATTTTATTATGTTCACGATTAATCAATCAACATTTACTCATTGCAGACCTGCACTGTCATCACTCAAAGCAGAATCGTATGATTATTCATTGTTACTCTCGATTATAAGCTCATCTAAACATTCAAAAGTTGTTCAGCTACACAACGCATAAGCAATAACGCAAACATTCCTTTACAATGTGACTCCCTTTTCTATTAGTCAAAAATGGATCATCCTGAAAAAGGATAAATAATTCGGAATGTTCCGAATTGTAGGATATACATTTATGAAAATCTTGATAAATCGCGTCGTGTAATGATTCCATCCTTAATGTTTGCATTGTTTGCCCATGCGCTGTGTACAAACGCCATGCCTTTTATATGCAATACATATGTCGTAACTAGTGTAAGAGCGACTGTTGTTCGGACATTGTGACACGAGACTGACTGCGTGTCTATTGTCTTGTAGGCTGATGCCCGAGTCTCCGAGATGGCTCATTAGCCAGGGAAAGTATGGCGAAGCAGAACAGGTCCTAAGGAACGTTGCAAAAAGGAACGGCACACAATACCCAGAAAAGATTGACCTGAGTCAGCTTGAACAACACACCCCAGGCCGTATTTGGCAGTTGTTCACTAATAAGACTTTGGCGTGGAGGACCATGATCATCTTCCTTAACTGGTAAAGTTGTTTCTCTTTTTTAATTTGTGAAAGGCTCATTTCCAATAGACATAAACACCACACATGTTTCGGCCCGAGCATCACTGACCCGTCCTAGAAGGAAACTTTAGCTGTATAGTACAGTGTTAATGTGTCCCCAACTTCTCCATGGCGTCCTAGATAGCAATACATATTTATAGTGCAGTGTAAAGTTGTCCCCAACTTCACCAGACGAGTCCTACATATGTATATTGGGTATACCGCTGTGTGGTGCAGTGCAATTTCTTTATTTCATACTATGTCTTTTACCCTATTTTACAAGTGCAATCATATATATGAGTCTAGCTTCATTTTATATATTTTTCTTCGTGTACTTTATTAATTTCTCTCCGTTTTAAAATCCGGAGATATACCAGAAATATTCAAGGTGCATTGCAACCTGCTTAACAGAATAGCTACTTGCTTCATAGACCTGTACAAAAACTATTTTCATGACATTTTTATAGGCACACAATCGGCCATAAGAGATCATTTAATAATGATTTCGTGATTCGTAGTGTCAATACTTATTTCATTGACAGGGTTTTCCGTCGTGACTGTCATACTTATTTTCATTCACAGGTTTTCCATTGTGACCTCTATTTATTTTATTGACAGGTTTTCCGTAGTGACTGTCATACTTATTTTCATTCACAGGTTTTCAATAGGGACTGTAATACTTATTTCAATTGACAGTTTTTTCCGTCGTGAATGTTATATTTATTTTCATTCACAGGTTTTCTGTAGGGAGTGTAATACTTAAGTCATTGAAAAGTTTTGCCGTCGTGACTGTCATACTCATTTCCATTCACTTGTTTTCCATAGTGACTTATATTTATTTCATTGACAGGTTTTCCGTAGTGACTGTCTTGCTTATTTTCCTTGACAGGTTTGGCAAAGTGACTGAAATACCCATTACATGGACAGTGTTTCCATAGTGAATATACTACTTATTTTCATTGAAAGGTTTGCCACATTGACTGTAATACTTATTTTCATTGACAGGTTTTCTGTAGCACAAATCTACTTCGGTGTTACCATCCATATGAAAAATCTTGGAGGAAACTTTTACTTTAAATTCGTCATTCTGGCTTTGGTAGAGATTCCCGCTGTCGCAATTACTGTGTTCATGTTGACAAAACTCGGCCGGAAGAAGGTGCACGCTTTTTTTATGATCCTTGCCGGGGTGTCGTGTCTTCTAACCATCTTCACAGTCCTTTTAGGCGGTGCATGTAAGTATCCCTTACTCATTTACCAGATATAACAGGTATGTTTTAATAGTATTTAACATATTTTTCTTTCATTGTGACCTTGAATATATACTAGTATGTCATTAGGTCCCTAAAAAGGAGTGGGGGATTTACTGCTTTTCTCTCTCTTCTTCATTTTGTATTTCTTTTATATTTTTCTTATGCTTATCGGTTTACCGACTTAAAAAAACTGGCTCGGCAATTTATAAATCTGCACATGAGCATGGGTGAACATATTTAGATGTACGTGACCGGTTTCATTTTCTGATCGTATATCAAATATGACAGCAGTGACCTTGGACTGGTTCCCGTCTGTAGAATTTTGAATTATTTGGAAGAAAACAAACCTCTTAATAACTTTGTTCACTTGGATATCTGAAACTAAAGGGAGAAAAGTTCCAAATTTCCGGGGGGGGGGGGGGTCATGTGGGGAAAAATTGAGGAAAATGGTGAAAATACATGAATTTTAATCCCCCCCCCCCAAAAAAAAAGAAACACCTGGAGTCGCCACTGCGCCAAGGTGATGCTAACGGTCCCTCTCTTTGTCTCATTCTGCTCCCACGTACGGAAGCAAATAAGGGTATTATGGCATTGAAAATTCTTTCGAATTCATCCATTTTCGACTACAGGGGCAGTTTGTATGGTATGTAACGTTCCCCATAACAATGCATGTACACATAGTAATATAATGTGTTTACTATTGTCTATTTCTCTGTTTTAGCCTTTGAACCAGTGACATTGGCCCTCTGTTGTTTGGGTAAGTTGGGCGCAGCAGCAGGGTTTTCTATTATCTACGTCTACTCTAGCGAGCTATTTCCAACAGTAGTAAGGAATGGTGGAATGGGGGCCAGCTCCTGTGTGGCACGATTTGGCAGCATGTCCGCTCCCTACATCTCTAAAATTGTGAGTACATCTCTGCTTATCCTTGCGTCTTTCCACCTTCGATTGTATGTGTGTGGGTTGACATATGCGCCCAAAATATAAACTTATAGCATGATTCAATCAAGAAAATTATCAGCAATTACTGCGGAAAAAAACTAATATGAAACAATTCTGGTTTTGTTCAGTTGGATGTATAACTCATTGTCAAAACATACATATCTTAAATCGGGATATGTTTTGTTTTCAATACTTTTAAAATGCCTATTGTCGGATCATCAGTTGCATGGTGCATGGTCTTTATTGTCGTAATAAAATTTCAGATATTAAGCGGTGAGTGTTCATTTTGTCATTACGATATGTCTGCAGGGTGATTCGGTGGGTAGTATGTACGGACAAGCCATTCCACTGATCGTGTTCGGTCTAATCGCTCTGGCGGCAGGCACTCTCACTTTATTACTTCCGGAAACGTGGAATAGACGACTTCCCGATACCATACAGGACGGAATTCACTTTGGAAAGTAAGTACACATCCATGGTATTTTAAACTCTCTATTTTTTCTTCATTCAATAGAGGGAGACAAAATGACCAGGACAGCCGGTCAGGAGGGAACGTTCTAATTTTGGATTTTGGTTTAATTTTATTTGAAAAAAAACAACAAAAAAAACACACACAAGCTAGAAATCTTTAAATCTGTTACAAGATTTGATTTGTAAAAAGATTTTTGTGCATGTCAAACGAAAAAAGATGAGCAGAACATTATCTCAACTATAAATTAGTGGAAAATGTTCTGATTGAAAGCTTTTGGACTCCAGAAAATCGCAATGAAAAACGTACGCGTTCATTTTTAGCTCAATCAGCATTAAGGTTGGGCGTTGTTAACCATTTACTAAATATTAAACGAAAAGCGACAGAAAATATATAGAATGACGTCTCCCAACTAAATCGAGCATAGGATCCTAACCTGATACACACTAAAGACACTAGTAAGTGTTCTATTATAATACTAATGCCATATAAATGCTACTATAGCTTGAATCTGGGTAAACATATATATGGACCTTGCATTCGATATGTCATTACAAAATAGTTGAAACTAAATTATAAACGTACTAGTTATATTGTAAAGTGAGTACCATACACTGACCACAAAGGACACTGACCACAAAGGACAACAGGCACTAATGCGAAATCAACACAAAATGAAAGACATGATCCTTTACTTAGGTCCATATCCCGTAACAGGTGCTCCGAAAGAGGAGCGGTTTCCGGCACCACATGGACACCCTTCATGATGTCTCCTATAAGATCTAAATCTGTTTAAGGTAGCCATCTCTCTAAGACATACTAAACACGTTTTTATTCAGGATAGACACATGTATATCGTTAGAGGAAATCAAATGACAATGTTGACGTGTGTACAAAAGTCTTGAGCGTAGATGAAAGCTACTCCGGTAGGAACCCTCGGCTAAGTAGTGTATTGATTAACGGAATGAATAATTATAACCAATAAGATTATAATTGTTCAAACAGATTCTGCTCCAAAAAATCAACTTAGAAGTATTCAAACCAAAAGCACAGGTTGCAGAAATATTACTCTTACCAACATAAAAAAACACCATGAAACATGTTACAGTTTCACATATGATTATAATATTTCAAGTTAGATTTCTGTATCTTCGTAATAAATAGCTGCAGCATAACTCGATATCCTAATATTAAGCTTTCGTCTACATAAAAATTGAGTATCGGCTAAAAACTACTTTAGAATCGGCCCCAGGGCTTGAGGTTTTCATATTGAAATTTTTTCAATTATGTTTATCATACAGTAACCTCATAATTATCTTTTTAAGATGCAAGTTAACCAAGTTGTATGGCTAAGTGATTTTATATTTAGAGGTTTTCATAAAAGCGCTTTCAAATAAGCCGGAAACGTGCTTACTTTGACTGCTTTAAACATGAGTATGTTTACAGTCTCCTAGCTCTTGTGTGTGCCTAATAAATATCGACGACGTTTATCTACTTACAGGGCGTTTGACGATAACAAGAAGGACTATATAGAAGACGATGACAGTGAAAATATTCCAACACATGAATTATCTTCTAACGATTCAAATGAAACTGGGTCTTCTGAGCGTGAAGAGCTAGCGGAAAAGAAATCCCTGATCATTTAAATACAGCAACAAAACGATCTTATTACGAAACAGAAGAGATGTTTCGGAATTTTGCTGTTATGTTTTCCCACTTTAACTTGACCATTCGGAACAACTTTGGATTATTGACCATTCGGAACAACTTTGGATTCTGTCATAATTGTGAAGTGTTAGAAGTTTTACGCAACACTTTTAGTCGCCAACTTTAAGATATTGTTTCTTAACACAACTAAAACGTTTCGTATATATTGTAAAAAAAATAATCAAATCATCTTTGAAATACTGTATGATACAAACATCAGTAGCATTGCATATGTACTTGACTTTACGATTTGATAAATATACTTGCACAAATTTTGGTTTCTTGAAGCCTTAAGTGCGAGTGTATCATTGCATACTTGGCTCAAGTATTGATATTTCGTTATTATGATACTTGTGTGGATGGTTAAATGATGCACATCATTTCCTTGGTATACCTCATACAGCTTTTGACTTGACATCGCTATTTATTTATGTTTAGGCTTACATTCAAGTGTACAATTTCACAGTGTTGAATTCGCTGTTTTTGAGATGGTTAATATTGCAGCAGCGCAATATTACAGCAAATTATTGTACAGGAAAATTACAGTGAAAATAGTCCTGAATATAATCTATATTATATTTAACAACAAATAATTAAAAGCATTCTATTTACTTCAATCTCAAAACTTTTTTATATTCCAACCTTTGAATAGTAAGAATTAAAATGAGCCATCAGGGGTGAATGAGTTAAACCCCATACAAAGCTGAAAACAAATAAATCATACCAAAATGTACGTTGTTACATTAAGAGCTCAAATTATTTATACTTAAAACCGGGTAACTGTTTTATGGTTTTCTGATCGTCACTATATTGTATATAAACTACCGATGACCTCTCCTTCGTTGCCACCACAGACTCAACTACAATGCATTTGCGAGATTAGATCAGGTATGAATCAAGCAGAGCGACCAATATTATTTTTTATTTTGATAATATACATGTTTTTGTATCAAAAAGTGAAGCGACATTTCCTTTTCGGTAAAGAAAAACCTATACAACTTGAGATTAAACTCTTACAAAACATTCATCGTACAATAATAATGTGTTGGACTGCTTCTTGTTCTGATCTGAACTTATACAAGCTGTTCTATATTAATAACTGCACGAACGTGCGCATGACAAATATATCCAAAAGATTTGTACAAATGTTTGTAATCCCTGATGGTTTAAACACTTGTGGTAGAGTGTCGTTCGGGGGGATATGATAATGGAAGAAAATCCCTGTGAATATGGTATTTTCGTGAGTAAGATTGTATGACATATTGTGTACATAGTTTGCATGTTTTTAATCTCTCTTATGTCATACGTCAATAGCATGTAGTGGAGATTTGATTCACGTCAGTCTCATCTGGTCGTTTGGTACTTTATACAAGTATAGTATGACATTTCAATTTATGAATTAGATAAAATAAAATCATAAAATAAAATCATCAAAACATTGTTTATAAATTGTCGCGACAACCCAAGCACTAGAGAACTTGCAATACTTTTTGAACCGTCATCACTTCCTGTGTATTATTGATACGTCATCATTACCCGTGTATTAAAACATCATCATTACCTGTGTAGAAGTACCACCTCATTTCTCATAGATACAACCATAGACCTAAATTAACTTACTTTAGGTCTCTGATACAACGTACTAAAATATAGTAGTTATTTTTATTCAAAAACCCAATATTTAGGATTAATTCACGCCAGTAAAGTTGCAATAAATTAACAGCAATTAACAAAGTGTTGAAATAAGTGTTGGTATAAATATTTATGATTCGGTATTCTGTGACATGAAAGTGTTATTTGTTTCAGTATTGCATATGTAACAACGGAATTATAATCGAAATGTCGACATATATTTCTTGAACTGATCTAACAATTTCAAATATGTTGTTCACTCTATTATTCTTAAGGAGATGGCAGGATGTAACTGGCGTATATCTGTTGTTATAAGATCCGAAACAGCTCAAATTAATCTGTAATGCTATCAGTAGCAATATTACACATGGTATAAATGTGGTCGTGTTTCACATTTCACCTCCAATATTTGTACCGACATCGGATTACCTGGTACATTGTTGCGGATTTAGTTCTTTGTTGGCATTAATTCCGTCGTCTGCGCTGAATCTGGACAAAAAATATTAAGTTATCCACTTACAAGTATGGTTATGGTTCATTTCGTTTTTGAATCCCATTTTCATATTCTTTCTAAAATGTGTAATACAATTTTGATATATATATATATATCTCTTGAACTGATATCAGTTTCTTGAAGGTGAAAGGTATGATTTCAAGACAATCACATAATGTGATGTAATTAGTTAATTTGTTACAAATTACAGACAAACTACTGCAGTGTTGAATAATTTATCGGTAGATACCTCAGTACTACACAAAGTATCAAGGATTTTATAGATACCTCATTAACACAAACAGTATAAGTCTTTTATCGTTGTGGTGAACTGTTTTATGATTGGTCACATCCCAGTGGTAAAGCTACGCCACTGATGTAGTTACATCGTGTATACATGTATATGATATACGTATACACTATATTCATGTAGTTGATCCTGTATACGCAATTATACGAAGGGTTTATGGGTGATAATGTTAAACTTTGACTGTTACAGATTAGAATATTCATGTAGAATGAAAACTAGATGGATTGCGTTGACCAAACGCAAGAAGAATATGTTGAATATGATGTCATTCATTAAAAAAAAATCGAATATGCGTCAAAGGATTATTGTGTTTTGGTGGTTTTCAGATTTATCTGACGTTACTTAATTTCAAGTTTTTAAAAGACGCTCGAAAAAGCTGATATCTTCTAATTATAACACAAAAATGACTAAGCCGAGTTAAACAAACTTAGTCGAACTACTCGGAAAGTAACTTTCTTATCATGGGTGTCTTCAACCTTTTGATTTCAATGTGACCATTATTTCGGTGTCTCCATACAGTTGCATTGTACAGTATTTTTTTTAATCAAAACTGCCATTTTAATTGTTTTGTGTGTCTCATCGATTATATATTTCGTGTATTAATTTTTGGTGTGATTGTACATTTTATTTAAGTGTATTCAAATATACATGTATACAATTTACAAAGATAAATCTCTGCTTTCTATGTGCTCTTATTACTATAGTATATATGATACAAATACACTGTAGTTACCTTTCTGAAAATCTTATTTCTGTATAAAAGTACACTTTGTATCCGCCTTTTTAATTTACTGTTCAATGAAAACGCAATTACATTGGTCTTCACATTCTTGTTTCGTGTTATCTCTTTTAATCCATAAAAAACACCACGTCATCGGTAATCTGTACAGCTACCAGAGAAATATTCATTATCTTGAATTTAATTTAATTGACCTGTGCTATATCATTGGACAAATTAGCATTGTGCTGTAACCTGGTATCCGTAGACCTTGTGTTGTAACAAAATTCCTATTGACCATGTTCTATAACGTCGAACACATGGAAATTGTGATATAACACTGTTCTCGTTGACCTTGTGATATAACAAGGTACTCGACCACTTTGTGCTATACACTGTTCTCGTTGACTTTGCGCTATAACAGGGTACTCGTTCGCTTTGTGCTATAACACTTTTATCGTTGACTGCTCTATAACAGGGTACTCGTTGACTTCGCGCTATAACAGGGTACTCGTTGACTTTATGCTATAACGGGTAATCGTTGACTTTGAGCTATAACAGGGTAATCGTTCACTTTTTGCTATAACACTGTTTTCGTTGACTTCGAGCTATAACAGGGTACTCGTTCACTTTGAGCTATAACAGGGTACTCGTTCACTTTGTGCTATGACAGGGTAATCGTTCACTTTGTGCTATAACACTGTTCTCGTTGACTTTATGCTATAACGGGTAATCGTTGACTTTGAGCTATAACAGGGTATTCGTTGACTTTGTGCTATAACAGGGTAATAGTTGACTGAGCTATAATCGTTCGCTTTGTGCGATAACATGGTACTCGTTTACTTTGAGCTAAAACAGGGTACTCGTTCACTTTGTGCTATAACAGGGTACTGGTTGACTTTATGCGATAACACTGTTCTCGTTGACTGCGCTATAACAGGGTATCCGTTGACTTTGTGCTATAAAGGGTACTCGTTGACTTTGTGCTTTAACAGGGTAAGCATTGACCTTGTGTCATAACTATATACACATTGACCCTGTGTTATAACAATATACACACTGACCGTGTGTTATAACAAGATACATACTGTTCATGTGCTTTAACAAGATACATATTGACCATGTGTTATAACAAGATAAACACTGACCTTGTGTTATAACAAGATTCACATTGTGATATAACACTGTTCTCGTTGACCTTGTGCTGTAACAGGGTACTCGTTGACTTTGAGCTATAGCAGGGTACTCGTTGACTTCGCGCTATAACAGGGTACTCGTTGACTTTGTGCTATAACAGGGTAAGCATTGACCTTGTGTTTTAACGAGATACAGATTGACCTTGTGTTATAACAAGATACACACTGACCTTGTGTTATAACAAGATTCATATTGACCTTATTTTATAACAAGATACACATTGACCTTTCATTATAACAAGATACACACAGACCATGTGTTATAACAAAATACACACTGACCATGTGTCATAACAAGATACACACTGACCTTGTGTAATAACAAGATTCACATTGACCCTGCGTTATAACAAGATTCACATTGACCCTGTGTTATAACAAGATTCACTTTGACCTTGTGTTTTAACAAGATACACATTGACCTTGTGTTTTAACAAGATACAGATTGATCTTGTGTTATAACAAGATACACATTGACCTTGTGTAATAACAAAAATACACATTGACCTTGTGTTATAACAAGATACACATTAACCTTGTGTTATAACAAGATACACGCTGACCTTGTGCTATAGCAAGATACACATTGACCTTGTGTTATAGCAAGATACACATTAACCTTGTGTTATAAAAAGATACACATTGACCTTGTGTTATAACAAGATACACATTGACCTTGTGCTTTAACAAGATACACATTGACCTTGTGTAATAACAAAATACACATTGACCTTGTGTTATAACAAGATACACATTGACCTTGTGCTTTAACAAGATACATATTGACCATGTGTTATAACAAGATACACACTGACCTTGTGTTATAACAAGATTCACATTGACCTTGTGTTATAACAAGATACACATTGACCTTGTGTTATAACAAGATAGCATTGACCTTTTATTATAACAAGATACACACTGACCATGTGTTATAACAAAATACACACTGACCATGTGTCATAACAAGATACACACTGACCATGTGTCATAACAAGATACACACTGACCTTGTGTTATAACAAGATACACATTAACCTTGTGTTATAAAAAGATACACATTAACCTTGTGTTATAACAAGATACACATTAACCTTGTGTTGTAACAAAATACACGCTGACCTTTTGTTTAACAAGATACACATTGACCTTGTGTTTTAACAAGATACACACTGACCTTGTGTTATAACAAGATTCACATTGACCCTGTGTTATAACTAGATACACATTGACCTTGTGTTATAACAAGATACACATTGAACTTGTGTTATAGCAAGATACACATTAATCTTGTGTTATAACAAGATACACATTGACCTTGTGTTATAACAAGATACACATTGACCGTGTGTTATAACAAGAAACACATTGACCGTGTGTTATAACAAGATACACATTGACCTTGTGTTATAACAAGAAACACATTGACCGTGTGTTATAACAAGATACACATTGACCTTGTGTTATAACAAGATACACATTGACCGTGTGTTATAACAAGATACACATTGACCTTGTGTTATAACAAGATACACATTGACCTTGTGTTATAACAAGAAACACATTGACCGTGTGTTATAACAAGATACACATTGACCGTGTGTTATAACAAGAAACACATTGACCGTGTGTTATAACAAGATACACATTGACCTTGTGTTATAACAAGAAACACATTGACCGTGTGTTATAACAAGATACACATTGACCTTGTGTTATAACAAGAAACACATTGACCGTGTGTCATAACAAGATACACATTGACCTTGTGTTATAACAAGATACACATTGACCTTGTTTTATAACAAGATACACATTGACCGTGTGTTATAACAAGATACACATTGACATGGTGCTATAGCATGATATTCGTGGACGTTGTGTTGTGACATACTACCCGTTTATATTTTCAATTTATTAATTTTTCATATTATTCCCGACAAGTGATTGGCCAGGAGTGCATCACATGTCCACCGATAAAAACCGATTAAGGACTGGGTGTTTCTAAAAATAGAATTATGACGTGTCTCCAAACAATCCACCGTCCAACTTCCGAAGCTTTTGTATTGTGTTTTTTTTTCAGATTGCTTACTTTGCTTTTTTGTAAAATAATAAAACAATTGTAGCCTTTACCTTCGCTCGATACCTGGATTTATCGACCCGAGAAAAGATATATTGACCGAGGACTGCGTCCTCTGTCAATATATCTTTTCTTGGGTTACACTGCATTTGTCCAAAGGGGTTC